CGTCCAAGTCGGAAAGAAAAGGTGGATCCGGCGAATGAATCAGTTGAAGATGCGCTATTCAACAATGAACTCAGCGCCGAATACAGGGGAACTGAGCCTTAACCAGTTGTTGGATATGAAACCAGAGATGCGCTATTCAACAATGAACTCAGCGTCGAATACAGGGGAACTGAGCCTTAAGCAGTTGTTGGATATAGGTGAAACCAGAGCAGCAAATACAATGAATCAAAAGCAGAACGATACAAATCCGCACGAAAAGAGATCGAGACCGAAACGAAAGCGAAGGTTCGTGCAACCCTTCCAGGTTGACCCAAGAAGACAAAATCATGCATATCCCGGGTAACCAAATTTTTAAAAAGAGGAAATGTTACCAGAACGGATCTGTTAATTGTCTAAAATTTCGTCTTAACTACGGACTGATAGTTTCTGGTCAATTCTCACATTCTGGTTAGATTTGTCGTCACCACACGTTCAGCCACCAGATTGCATCGTGCTGAGTTCCTATTGATTTATCCTCGTTCCGCTCTCACGTGTGACTCCTATTGGTCGTTGTATTTCGTTATTTTTCTGCTCGATCGTGCATAACTGTTGGTTCCTATTGGTTATTCAGTTGAAGAGAAAGTCTCAGCCAATTCGTGCCGTTTTTTTCCGATGTATATAAACCGCCTTACTTCGCGGCAAAAAAGACCTGTTCCTGTGCTCGACTTTGGCTTCTTCCTTACGCGAGTTGACGGGTTACCTCCGGACGACACAACAAGGCCATCGTCGCTAATTGAGCGCATCAGCTGAAGCCAACAGCTGTCATAATTTCCGTATTCCGGATGGCAGAGAACTGGAACCGAGCTGCTAAAATACGATGTTGAATAAGAGATTTAATTGATCATTTATCCCTTTCCTCATGTTTGCTTTTAGTCAGTAGTAGCTACTACTGTTTCGTTTCTGTTAGCTAGTCACTGTGCTCATAACCTTCGTTGTCGTGCAGCATCCCATGAAAGCCGAGTACTCGCCTATTATTTTAGTCAGGGTGGCGCTACTTTACTTCTTATGTTATTTTCTTTGTAGTCTGTTGATCCCCCACTGCCAGCGACATCACCCAAATCTGTGGCTTCCAGCTCCCATGAAGGACCCGGCTGTCGAACGTGAGGGATTCTTCTCAGACCTTCGACATTTACAGTCTTCAGTGAGGCATGAGATTAAGTGTGAGTGAATTTTTTAGCACCTCTGGAGGTGCATTCACCGCTGTTGGATGCAGATATTTGAACTAATATGATTAATCAAATAAAAATAGTTCGTTTAATTCAACCTAATTTACTCCAATTAATAATTCGACTAAGGGAGAAATCCTGAGAAACACATTAATCTTTCTATCTTTATCGTCTAACTTATCGTCCAGGGGTGTTGTATTGAACACAACTTTCAAACCTGTCGAAGATCTATAGCCAGAGTGAGTGGAAGTATTTCTATATGACGAAGTGAAGATTGTTGATATGGTTGAGTGTTCCGGGGTTCGAAATCTACCTTATTTAACACTCGCATTGCTTTCCGGTTACTTGGCACCTACGCTCTAAAAAGCTAATACGACTCGCTGACTGGTTTTCAACGGTTAGAATTTGAATTAGGTGTTATTTTCTTGTCGTAACAAGCCTTTGTTTGATATACTCAGACAACCTGACAACTGGTAAATAAGTAAATGGTTCCGTCTGAGTCATCATCCATCATCACGAAGTACCTGATAATTTTCGGGCCACGAGCGCGTGATTTTACAGGATGTTTACAGTGCAGATGTGGCTACGGACGAATGTGACGTGCGGATTTACGGAATGTGATACATCATTGATAAAGTTCATAGTCTTAGTGATTGTTGATGGTCGAAATCCATGCTGGTCGGCCGTGCTTTGAGCGTCCGAAATGCATAAGCATGTTAATTCGCACAGAACATGGTCACACATCGATTGCTGTTATCGGTTGTCCAGTTTTCGGCTGTTTTCGAGCATTGATTGTCTCAACCGTGATTGGGTTTGCACCCGAGTGTTCTGAAAAGCTACGTAGTACTGCGTCATCGGACCATCCGAAGCAATTGTTGATCTGACAGACGTGGGAGAATTGTTCAGTCTGGAGTATCTGTTGTTTCAGGCCGCTCCCAACTTGTACACTATTTGCTCAACTAGTGGTGATGCAAATCCTTCTTCGTTTCGGTGAATCTGATGTGCACTATCCACGTGGGTGTTTTGATCACTGCCGAGTTGAATTCAATGTGTGATCACGTGCAGTAGCCCTCATTCTATTTGAATCGCTCTTTCTGAAAAGCATTATGTTCCGTTATCATTGCGGAGCGTTTCTGTACCCATACGCTATCCAGTCATTGGGATTGTCCGTTTCTTTTTTCGCCTCCAGTCGAATTTCGGGAGCTTGAGCCCTACAAAAACGCTACCACGGTGGAAGAGGAAAAAACTTTCCTTGTAAGTTTGTATCAGTAGTCATCCTAGCTGTTTTCTCCATTATGGGTTGTGACATGTCGCTGTGGACATCTTGGTAGTGCTCCTTTCTGAACATGCCTGTTATTGTTTTTGTCTTCTGTTGATCCCACTGTAACTAACTTTCTTGGCTTGGGTATCTTTGTTCTCGTACCCGATCCCATGAACCTAGTGATGCCTGCTTTTACATAGGGACCTTGGATGTTAGGTTGTGGGATGTGTACCGATTTCGTTGTAGTTGTTTAGAGAGTAAACTACCAAGATTCGGTTAATTGTTGCATAGATCTGATCCAACTATGGTGAACCCCTAAGTCTCCTGGCGATTGTTGAATGCACTGCACGCGTCGTCCTTGAGCAGTTCTTCACAGATTTCGGTCAAGTAGGTGATAAGCAGCTGCTTGTTGTTTTCTTCCGGCAATGTCAATGTCCCTTCAGCTTTAGGTGTTGAAGTATTCAGCTTGGTAGATATTTTCCTCGCTGTGCGCAGGTATTTTCTCACGTATTTTTAATCCTCAATGCGCTTCGAAAAGTTGGGATGTTCATGGGGAATCCATTGTGTTGAATTTCTGCACGTTATTATTGTTTTCTGAGGAACTTCCCATGTAAAGTCGTCTAGCAAATCTGTTTTTCGAACAATATTTCAACTCTGCAACTTTCCAATAACTTGGAGTAAAGCTATTCTGACGGTCTCATTGAAAGCTATGCGCTAACTCAGCATGCTTTTGGTGATGCATGCACGTCGGGTTAGGTTTTTTAACGGTCAGGTAGATTTCAACTTGGAAGAGATTCGCAGACGTTCCTTCATTTTGTTAGCAGCGTTACATATCTGCATGCATTTGATGTTGATTTGTTATGACCGTACACGTTTTTATCCGTATGATTGAAACCTGTATTTGGTTTACGTTTTAGACCTTGTTCAATCAGTTGGATGTCGGTCTTATGGTTGAAGTCACTCGGGCGCTCGACCAACTTTTTTACAAAGACCTTCATGCCCTGGTTGTCTTCTTTGAACAAGAGAGACTGCGAATAGCCTCAGCACTATTCACAGTACAACACGTGGATGAATTCTAACACACAAACCATTCATCCTAACTGCTTTTATTGTATTTGCGACCAATTTTGATCCAACCGTCTAAACTGCACTCGTTCATCCATTGTTTTGTTGAATTGACTGTTATACGCCGTTCGCCCAATTCCCCTTGCTGTGATCCAACTCGCGCATTCTCATTGGGCTAGTTACACATAGTACACAAGATACCGCTACATCTCAACCCATCCACCTTTCAGCTTTTTCTCTATTTCCGAAACCATTTACTCGTCGCCACTGTGGTACCCATCGGAAACTGGTGTGCCTAACTATCCGTCATCTTTACTGTTTGTAGGACTCAGTTTCCTTATGCAATACATCTATCAGGCCAAAGTTCATCTGAAATATTTTCCAGAGGGGATTCCTCGGAGTCACTGGGGCAATTTGCATGATAAGTTATGCAGTAGTATGAGTGCTGTGGAATGCGATACAATTAGAATGCATTAAATAACTTGGATGTATTTGGCTAAGTTTTCCAGGTGATTCGTTAGTGGACCGTATATAGCTAAGCAGTCTCACACAGGTGATACCTGCAGACTTGAAAATCTTGAAAACTCGACGGTTGAAGGTGGGCAAGTACCTTCCTGCATGTCCGCAGTAAGTAACAAACCTTATTCACCTGAAAATTGGTCTCCATGTTGCAGTCCGGGCCTCAGTTAGCTCTGTAACGAATTGAGGTTAGCACTTTCAGAAGCTGTTGCAAAGAGACGACGTTGTCGTGGCATTGCGGTCTTTGCACATCCATGACCCATTAAACTATACTTCGTATGTTTCATTCTGATATCCACAAAGTTTCTTGTACTACGTTGGTCTGTTGAGTACAGTCTTCTGGTCCTTCAAACTAGCAGTTAGAACAGGTAGGGTGGTCAGGTTTTGGGGCAAGGGCTTTGGTGAAAGGCCCTAATCCTTCTCCTATCGACGATATCCTTACCCACGTACACCCGTGAACCTTACCGCTAAAAGTACTGACATGCCACGTCGAAAGTCGCTCGTTGCCATCATCCGGATCGCCTTTTTTGCTGGATGCAGTAGGATGGATGAGCGAAAACATGTTACTGCTGATGCCTCCCTTCTTATTCCCTCACGTATTTCATCGTACAGGTCCCAGCACTGCGATTGACACATTGTTCGTCTTGCATCATGCACAGCTTTTGTGCTTCCGTCCCGACTAGCAGCTTTAAACACCGAAATCAGTCTCCAAACCCTGAAAACCGGTTCAATTATCTGACTTTATTGTTCACACACTGAAACAGGAAGGACAACAATCAGTTTAGCTGGTGCGCTGGATTACCTGTGCATTGATGTATACCTTCTGTGCTACAATTGAATTGACTGCCTTATCTCTCCACTTCCGGTTGTACAACTCTGGTGACGTGGGGGGCACTGCAGCTGGCTATACCAGGCTGGATAGTGTGTTGAGCCAATGAGCGAAAGTGTATCTGTTTGATTTGATACCTGTTGGCAGTCGCCTCTGCGCCGTTCGTTTGGCAACTCTGTGAAGCAATCTCGGGAAGATGAGGTCCATGGCTCTCTTATTGTGTCCGCTTACGTCCCGATGGACTGTAGCTCCGAATCTGCGAAAGGCAGATTTTATGGCATCCTATGTGCTTTTTTACTACAAGATTCGAATTCAGACACTGGTCGGAGGTAGGTAAGCTTAGTGCTGCTGAGGCTCAGTCATATCATCAGTGCATCGCTGTATAACGGAGCGTTGCGATGCGTTTCTGAACGAATTTGGTTGCCTTGTCGCCTTTCGGTGTTCCATGTTGCATTATGATATTTCCATTTCATCAATAAATCAGCCAGTACTCTAGCTATGTTAGGGGATTGGTGGCATTTGTTTCACAGTGCATGCTTCGCATCACCACTATGTACTTTTTTCATGAACTGCCAGAGGTCAGGGACGTAGGAGTCTCCTCAAATGGTTGACAAACCGGTTGTCTGTCACCTTACACTGCAACAGAATATTGAGATACTGGTTTAACAGATGTCGGTTGGTTCAACATATTGGATAAAATTCTATACTCTAACACTGACCTTGGTTGATTTCACAGCTTTGATAAAGAATCGCGGGGATTCACTTGTTTTTGGACTCAGATGTTCGACAATGAATAGTCAAAGCACGTGGGACTTGCTACACGAGAACTGAAGCTCAGATATTTTGTGAGCTTTAAACAAGTAGCTGACCGTTTTATCGGTCCGTCTCTGAATAGCGGTGTCGGTCTGAAAATTTGCGGCCTCTGTGGACTATGCTTTTTTAGAGCTGGTGGTGAGCCCGACAACCCAATTAGAAGCACAAGACTTTTCTACCTTGTTGCATATTCTCATTGATTTAGTGCAGCAGTCGCTGACAAACAGTCTTGGCAATATCAAACGGTTTGTTCGTTTGGGATGTAAATGATTGAGTTTCATAGCCTCACCTGAAAACAGTTACCCGAGGACAAGACATTGGCAGGCGCTTTATAAGGAGACACGATGCCGAAGGCTAATTGATCCGGAGAATAATAGAGGTATTCCTAATCTACCCCATGGAAAATTGGGAATAACTTAATATGGATGCAACTGATGTGAACACTATGAACCAGAACAAAACACAAGAATTGTCAATTATGGTGGGTCTGCTCATGCCTACCATTGCATGACCAACAATGTGGTTATGTTATCCACTGAAGTGATTGGTGATGAGTCGTTCTTATTGAGGTGTTACTGACAATGGGTTCGATTGTGGCGATATCAGTTTAACGAAATGGCGAACGAAGGTGAGATTGCGCTCAGAAGTTTTATGGGAATGTAGCTCAACCGGATTAGTCGCCGTACGGGCGCACCGTCATTAAATCCTATAGTGCTCAGCAAGAAGCATGTACTAGTTATTTCCTAAGTGAATTTGATAGGTAATTAGTTCTCAACCATTCCGCACCCATCTACTCCCACCCATTGGTAAGCGTCCTTCCTTATTCATGTGGTCGGATTTGGGGATTGATTATTTGTGCCCATTCAAGTTTTCGTCATAAAGCGATTGAACTGCATGTAGCATTCGTCGAACGGGAAGGACTCACAATCTTGTGTGAATTCGGGTCCTCATCCCTCTTGAGTCTTGAAATCACCCCTTGATTAAGAATTGCAGTATTGCGTTAACCGAGTTCCATCTCTTGTGGATTTTGATTCGCCATGTCCTTACGTACGTGTTTTCTAAGTTAATGTTAAACTACAATAACCACATTTGAGCACCCTGGCAGCCTCCCAGCTTTAGGATAATCACTAAGTGACTAACAAATGCAGACCGACTTCCACGGACCCCTATCGGACCGGCAATAGTTAATTAGCTGATCTTTCTGGGGGCATTTGTTCCTCGAGTTGAGTGAACCTCAGTCTGCTTAATTAGCAAGTAGGCGTTTCTCATCGAACAGACGTCAACGCCGTTACTAACAGAACTGGCATTGGGCATTCGTGATTTGCTCTGAGATTTGAATCTTTCGTAAAGGTAAGTCTGCCTATGTGAACTGACGCTTTTGCACCCATCTCTGTACAAAAAATATCACAGTTGCGGTATAAAAATATTACTCAGTGGCTATATCGATTTAATACAGAAACCAAGTAGATTGTGCCCTTCGCTTGCACAGAACTGGTTATCAGCCGTGTATGCGTAAAATTGTGGTCGTTACGTGCGAGATAGCGTTCTGTACATGCCCTCCACGGTTTCGATCATGTATTGAATCGGATCTGCAGGGCGATAAATCACCAAATCACTCGCTAATCTCTGTAAATGCTAGATAAAAATAACATGCACAAACCTGAAACAGGTGTAGGATTTCGTGTTTTTCCAGGTAGACGGTGGCCTTTTCTCTTGGATCTCTAAACCTAAAATGTGTGTCTGTAGGACGTTGTGGGTTGCCCTTTGGTTCGATGAGCTCTTCCATTGTATTTCTTTGTCAAACTGAGTCTGAAACATCGAGATAGAATAGGGTAAGTTAGCTTTTTGCCGAACTCCAGGAGATTTATGAACTTGTTTTTAACTCAAGGTTTCTGGATAGTTGCTGGGCCCAATATGGTGAAAGCACTTAAACTGTTAATGCTGCTTTGGGGGTCAGCTAAAACAGTTTTCACTACGGCCAACCAGATATAAGAAATATTTGGCTCCAAATTTTGGGTGTTAGAAACACATCTCCAGCAATCGTGGTGCCTGTGCAACTTTCTTCTCATCCGTTGTTTAAGATAGTCAGTCCCTTTGATCCATTTTATCAAAACAACCAACGGACAGGTCGCCACATGTTAGCATTTCATTCAAGTAACTAATTCCTGGGGTTGTATCTGAGAATATATTGCACCGATCGGCAGCAACCAAACATTTTTACGGTCTATAAACAACGCATGAAGTGTGTCCGTACAACACCATGTATAGTAGTTTGAAGGACGAGTTTCCTGTTTCTGGGACATTTTCCTGAAAACGCTTTCTTGCGCTATTGTTATCTAGTTTCCGAGCCCCGACTAGCAACCGAAGTCCCTCCGAATGCAAGTCCATGGCATGAGAGATGTCAGATCCCAGTGACTGGGTTCGGTTGCTTTGAGTTTTGCGACATATAAAGGAGATTGTACTGGATCCAAGCGGTGCGTAATTCGTCATCAATTAGAAACTGTTTTAGGGAAATCAGCTGAGTTTTATAGTGATACAGGCGTGATCCTCAAGTGTTTTGTGAACACGTGACCAGATGAAGGATAGTGGACAAGTTACGTAGTAGAACTTGCGTCGCCAATTTCTCGACTTCATACCCGCTAGATATACATAACTGTCACTTTTAAGCCGACCTCAGAACGACCAAGCAGATTTAGTTCAGTTTTAAAGACGTTCATAATTTAGATCAACACGTCAGTAATAGAACACAACTTGAATGTACTGTCAAACCCTAAAGTTACATTATGAAGAATAACTGGACAGGTATAGTGGAGTGCATAAACCCGTCCAACAGCCATCACTCAAGCATGCCGTACCAAGAGTTGCTTTTGGGTCATGATTCCCCGATTCGGCCCTCAGGATAGCGTTTTCGCCACAGAACATTTAACAGATAAGCAGTATGTCCACGAGTCCCAGTTTTCATCCCGAACTACAGGTCGGAAATTGGGCACTGCTCCCTAGAAATTGGAGAAAATATATCGATACACTCGACATCACCATCAGCATCGTCGGCAGTAAACTCATTGTTTATATTGATGCTTCACTGCTGTGCAACCACAAAGTCAATTTAATTTTCAACGTAACCTTGAAGTGAAACAAGAAGAGTGGTGGACAGGGAATGCACATTGGGTATGCCCACCGCAAGGATTCTGACGGGCGCACTAACACCACTGACATCGTCGCTGCTTGCAGTGTATCCATTCAAACGAAGGGTGAGTCAGCAGCCCCATTCTGGAGGGCGGAC